CTAACAAATATTGTTATTTTAACTACTAAAGACAGCACCCTAAGGTAATGAATGTGTATACTACAATACGTAAATTTGAAATTTTATACCTAGCGAATTATAACCTTACACAAACATTGTCACTCATCCGAAGGAGACAAGGGAAAACTGAAGTTAGTAAAAGCAACTAGGCAGTAGGCACAAGTGGAAACAGGGAGGACAGAGGAAAATTGGGACTCCCTCCCGCGTGGCTCCAGCCCAAAGTCTCAACCCTGTCTCTCAGTGGGTCTGGGTATGGAAAGAACCCCAACAAGGTTGACCGGAGGACGATTGGCGACTACCTCGCCGGGGGAGAAGGCGGGCGTGCATTTTCCTTTGTTTCTTTTAGAGCGCAGCTCTTAGGCGCCCGCTTACGGCTTGAGCACCGTCGTCGGCGTCGCCGTCGGCGTCGGCGCAACCGCGTGTTGCATTATGGGACGTTTCCCATAGTGACGTAGCACGTGACGTCACGTGTGACGTCACGTGCTACGTGACGAGGGTTACCCTCGAGGTCACCTTCACGAGGGTTACGAGGCTTACCCTCACGACGGTCACGCGGGTTACCATCACCAGGGCCACCCTTACAAAGGTCATGAGGGTAACGTCACGACGTTACTCTCGTGACGTCACACGTGACGTCACATTTAACGTAATTATAAAAAAAACACTTGACGTATGGTGCCACGTATGACGTCACGTGACGTCACACGCATCTATCATTGTCAATATTCCCGCTAAACGTAGCAGGAAAATTGTTTGGCGACATTTGGTCAAAAAATATTTTCGCCATATTTACCCTCATGACGTCACGTGTGACGTCAAGAGGGTAAAATTTGTTCGCTAAATTCAGTGGTAAATTTTCCTTTAAATTTAGCGGGGAAGGAAGTGAGGCATATGCTTCCCTCCGTACCCTTGCCTCCTCCTCCTCAAGACCTGCGCTTTAATTCAGCATTAAAATAAAACTTTAACTTTTTATTCGTATCTGCCTGATTTTTTATAGGTCAGCCTGGTGGTTCTTTCCCCCTCTCCGGTAGTCGTAGAAACGTAGAGGGAAAGAAATTGGTTGTTTAAGTGGAAGAAAAAATTTTCTTAGGCTCGGTGGCGCAAGCTACCGCCTCTAACAAAGGGCATACCCAATATCATCCATCATTCCATCCATCCAGTGGTTACGTTGCATCAAGAAAAGCCAGATCTACTGTTGCCGCGAGAGATGCTGGTACTGCTTCTTGTCTGGTACATGACAGGGTCGTCATCGAACACCAAGGGTTATCAGGAAACCAATTCTCGCGTGGGATTGAAAAATGGACAGCCTGAAACCGCCGGCGGAACTTCGCCTCACAGGGAACTTGGAAAAGAACTGGCGGAGATGCAAGCAGTGGCTGGGCATCTATTTGAAGGCTACGGAATACGCACTAAAGCCCGACGACGAGAGGGCGGTGCTCTTCCTTCACGTAGCGGGAGAAGAAGCGCTCGAGATCTACAGCTTTGATTCCTACCGAAGAGGGAAAAGGGTGTACTGTGCGCTAGCTAAAAATTTCTGGAAACTTTTTCGATTGCGCTTGAAAAAAACTTTAGATGAAAGAATTAGACGTTCCAAAGTTTCTTCTCTCAAACAAAAGAAGTAAATACAAGGTGATCAAAAACTCACAATATGGAGATCTTCCAATATTCCAAGATCGTTCGTGAAACCTTATATACCCCTAATGTTTTTACATGAAACAATGATACACAAAAGACTAGTAGTAAGCTGGGCGAGTTGGTAAACTTTGAACATAGTTCAAAATCGCGCACAAAGAGACGAGGACAAACGAGAAAGGAACAGAGAAGACCTGTCTGTGTTCTGTGTTCCTTCCTCGTTTGTTCTCGTCTCTTTGTGTGCGATTTTTAACTATGTTCAGTGATAAACAAGCAGTGTTAGAAGTACTTTAAACACATGGTACTTAGATTACTACTTCAGGTAGGCTTAGAAAACTTGAACTTTGCTTGGACTACATTCTCTGAGCATGTACTTCTACTATAGTAAAGTTGTTTTTTTTGTACTTTCCAAGAACCCTACAACTCCCGACTACAGTGTATATCCCAAAATATGAAATTAAAAAAAAAGAAATAGCGTATCGTCATACGAAAACGCGCTATCCTCTATCCAGGGATGGGCAGTATTTCAAATACAAGTATTTGAAACACGTATTTCAAATAATTTGTGTATTTTGCATTTGTATTTAATTACAAATTGGGTAATGTATTTGACGTGTGTATTTAAATACTAAAACGTGAGTATTTCAAATACAATTGTAATTAAATACAAATTTGTGGGCGAAAATACATCCCTCAAATTTATTGTCACGTCTCATTTTGCTCATCCTAAGACGTGTTCAGAGCAGGAAGAAAACTACGTTCTGCATCAAATGCAGTGTCCCTCAATCAAGCACAAGCGTTTAGGGACTTTGTGATTACGGTGCTAGTCCAGCGCAAGAATAGTGACGAAATCGACGTTCACAGGCAGACTTGCTAAATAAGTGGCTGTGACAACTTGCGATGCTCTCCAGCCTGATTTCCATCCATATTTTTGCCTGGAACATTCTAAATGCGCGGGTCGTCCAGATTTTCGTAACTGGTGCGAGTTGCAACAATAACAAATTATCTAGCCAGTGCTGCACGTCTTGGTCGTCTCGGTTCTTTGTTCGTCTATACCAAAACGTAATCAACAAAAAAAGCGGCTTGAAGCTCTGTACTTTTTTCACCTATTACGTCCAAGCTGATTACATTCTTTTGTGATTATATTTCTATTACGTTACTATAGCCTCGCGCACTAACCCCCAGTGTGCGATGCAAAATTAAAATGAGATACCCAGAAACCCGTTGCAGGTGCCTGCAGTCGCTGACGCAGATTTTGAGGAATGTATTTGGAAAAGTATTTGGAGGAGACAACATACATTTGGTTGTATTTGTATCTTGTACTTCAATGCTTTTTCGGAAATGTAATTAGATTTGTAATTAAATACATTTTTGACGAAGTATTTTGTATTTGTATTTCGATACATATTTGCATGTATTTTGCCCATCCCTGCCTCTATCGATAGCTCATCTGGTCATTTCTCTGAGCGAAGTAGTTTTGGCTATAAGACCGACATAATAAGTGCCTTATAAGTTTATTGTGTTAAATAGTTCGTCAACGGGCGTAACACAATCACCCCGTGGCGACTTGACTTTATCCAATATTTGCCCCTTTTTCCGAAAAACCTGACGCACCTCCGATTACCACTAAAACGAGGCATAGTAGCTAAAAAAAATGCACTCTACAGGGGATGAAAGGGCATCATGAAATATCATGTTAAAAATGACTTGTACTTCACTTTGAATGTACATTGTGTTTATAGCAAATTACTTCAAGTGCATTGCACCCACTGAACTTACTCATTTACTTGATGTACATAACCTCTTATTTACTTTGTAGTTCACTGCAAGTACTTTTTAGATCTACTTTACGCAACACTGTAAACAAGGAAACAATTTCTGCAAAATAAAGCTCCCCACTGCTTAACCTCACAGTAGAATTAATACTCAGGCAGTACATCATTTACCAAAGAACTAAACGAAAATACAAAGCAATTACGCACGCAGAAGCAGACCCAGCTATTGAAGCATTTCTGTGAAAACACTATCCGCTTTATATTTGGCTAACAAAATTTCGCAAGCGGATCGAAACCTATCCAGTTTCTAGTTACCATAAATATATAACAGTAACTTTAAAAGTTATTCGCTACTTTTTTACGGTAGTTTGTAATTTATTCAATTACTTTCCGTCTGAGTAATTTCTACTTACTCAAATTACCTTTGAAGCCAAGACTCAGTAACTTAACTTAATTACTTTTTTAAGTAACTTGTACATGTCTGGTACAAGGCATGCCTAAGATGCGACAAAAAGAATCACTTAGCCGTGCGTTGTCCTTTTAGAACAAATTCACGGGAATCAGAAAGAAAAGGTTTGTATCCATCAGCGGCAAGAAAGCAGCGAAGAAGGGCGCTTTGGCAACGGCAGCTGTCTGCCAACATCCCCCGTACCACCACAATGGCAGCCACTAAGCAATCTCGTACCCGCTCTGTTGCCACTACTGAAGCGCCGAGTGTAGCCCCTTTTATTATTCCGGAATTTACTATTTTGCGCCGGTCCCTTTTAGCAGCCAGTAATTTTACAACTTGTGTCTGCACCAGTAAGAATTGACAACTCACCTGACCGCTTCGCACAACACATAATTTTTAGTCAAAAGTAGAACTCAATTCCAACAGCTCTCTGCGTAGCAGCCACAAGACATTTTAGAGCCACGAGTAAAGTTCAGTGCCCGAGGTTGGATGGGGCAGTTAATGACGGTCAGTGGCGACTTTTGGCGTCGAAAGTGGCGAAATTCAGTGATTTCAGGTGCTGATGTTTTCTAAAGCTTATTTAATAGAATTTATTGTGCAAACTATTCGCGTTCAATTTGTTGCACAAAGTTTAGGGTTCAGCATATCATTGACGGGCTATGAGGCGCTCAAGGACACGCCGAAAGAAATCGCACTTCCTCGCACATATGCGCCTTTTCGAGGGGTGCACTTTTTCTTCCATTCAGGCCACTCTTTCAGGCCACTTTTTCAGGCCATTCAGATCAAACTTGTCCGCAGCTACGGGGTGGGCACCCGCCCAATGATCGGCTGGCAGTCAACACAAACATCCGCCGAGCCCTCAAGTAGCGGTATGGAACTCCATGTAGAATCCAAGTGCCCGAAGCCGCTGCGACGCGAGGCGTCACTTCACGGATCCATAGGGCGAACCCCGACTAACCAACGCTGCGGAGGCCCAAACAAAAAGAAAAAAATAGCCGACTAGTGAGGTCTCAGCCCATACGCTCTGTGTACGTGGCCGTTCGCGCCGTTACGACTTCTGTCAATTCAGAAAGGCATGCAATGACGTCTTCGCTGAGCGGTATTTTCGATGTCCTCTGCAGGAAAATCCCGAAACTGCTCCAGTGGTCTTGTGGTTGCAAGGCGGCCCAGGCAGTTCTTCTTTGTTCGGCTTGTTCGTAGAGCACGGGCCATACTCGGTGTCTAAGGAAGGAGTCCCCCAGCTACGGCAGGTCACGTGGGCACGGCAATATTCCATGCTGTACGTGGACAACCCTGTGGGTGCAGGTTTCAGCTTTACACAGCACGACCAGGGCTACGCTAGGAACGAGACCGATGTCGGCGAGGATCTGCTTGAAGCCTTGCAGCAGTTTTTCACGCTCTTTCCTGAGTATGTCAGCAACGACTTCTATGCCACTGGGGAGTCGTACGCCGGTGTGTATTTTCTATTTTTGCTTTTTACTGCCATGAGCATACAACTACTGCATGTATTAACACGGCAGACTTTGGATTTTAATGTAAAGAAGAGTTTTGTCAAGATGGCTGAGCACGAATTCGATCTTGAAGAACATTGTAAATGTAAAATGAAGAAAACATTTTCGCTTAGCCAACCTGTTCTTCTTTTATTTGAGTATATGCATATGTTTAAGTGTTGAATAATTCAGTTGTGTTTAGAAAAACTTCAAGCAGGCAAAAACTCCCATGGCGCTAAGCATTTTGTGACTATATATATAAAAATTGTAGTGTTGTCCCTAGTAAAAAAAATCATTTGTATGAGAAATTTCTTGTGTCCAATAAACACATATGAATCATACAAGATATATAAGAACATATAAGAACCATATAAGAATTATATGAGAACTATATGAGAAATATATAAGATATATAAGGACCCCATAAGAAACTTATAAGAAACTTCCCAATAGTTTCTTATATGGTGCTTGTATGTTCTCATATATCTTATATAGTTCTTATATAGCTCTTATATGGTTCTTATACGGTTCTTATATGTTCTTATATATCTTGTATGATTCATATGTGTTTATTGGACACAGAAATTTCTCATACAAATGAGAATTTTCAATAGGGGTGTTCATGTCATTTCTGACGCCTGTTACGTGTATACAAAACGACTCCACTAACAATTTCCGCCGTTATCATTCATTCGTTTAGTTTGCAGCACAACACACTATAAACGGAAGGCCTATTACGAGTTCAGAGAAGGTTTAGTATAAATATAAATGCTATGAAATCAACAAAAAAATGGTCAAAGTGCGGGCGAGCAGGTGCGTACTAATAATGATGTTTAATACATTAGACTGGGAAGGAAACCTGAAGTTAAATTGGAAGGGTCAGAAGGAAGGTGACAGATAATTGTCTTAAACTCAGGTAACAAATTTATTTTTGTGTATACGTGAGTCAAATGTCTTAGTTTCGTTGAACTGCTTCGATCGGGTTCTCTTCTGGCCTGTTGCTGCTTTGTGCATTGGTGTGTTCGCAACGAACATGACTTAGCACTTAACTCACCACAAAATCGAAATATTTTTTTTTTTTACGTTGTGGACGATTTTTAGCAGAATATAAGAGCTTTGTATGAAATACATTTTTGTTAACAAAGTTTGAGACACGTGTCCGTCACCTTTCTTCTCTCCCTTCTAATTTATCTCAAGTTTCCTTCCGAGCTACAGGGTTTGAACATAATGATTATAAAATAAATCAGTTAAACAGAAATAAAAAAATACACGAGTTATAAAAAAATTCGCGTTTCTTTTACCTTGGCTGAATCTAAGATGAACGCTGCATGCCAATAGTTCTATTTTTTGAGCGCCATTTAGCAATAAAATATTGACATGTCTCTTAGCTCAGTTTGCGGGGTCTATAATCTATGTTATTGCGGGGGCTGAAACTTTAATTTTGTTTTCTTGTTTGCTTCTTGAACTTTCGTGGCAGGCAAATACGTCCCCGCCATTGCCCACGCCATCGACACCGCCGTCCAACCACGGGTCAGCATCAACCTTAAAGGGATCGCAATCGGAAACGGTTTCGTCGACCCTGTTACAATGATGGACTACGGAACCTACCTCTACGGAATTGGCCTCGTGAATCGACAACAAGCAGCCGTCTTACAACAAAAGACCGACACTGCCATAAGCCTAATCAATCAAGGGCGTTATGCGGAAGCGAACGACGAAATTGGGCCTGTTCTTGGTGGTAACCCAAGCATCTTCGAAAATTACACCGGGTTCACCTTCTACTATAATTACCTCCTAGTTAAGGAACCCGCAGATCAAGAATATTACGCTCCTTTTCTTCAGACCACCCGCGTGCGCAAGGCGATACACGTGGGGACCGTTCCATTCTCTGACTTCAACACCACAGTGTACGATAAGCTTAATGCAGACCAGATGGTTTCAGTGAAACCATGGTTCACCGCATTACTAGAGAGGTACAAGGTTCTTCTGTACAGCGGACAGCTGGACGTCATCATTCCATACACCTTCACAGAAAACTTCCTCGCCTCCCTAAACTGGTCAAGGGCGAGTGCGTTCGCGAACGTGCCCAAACAGGTCTGGAGGACTCCGGACGGAAGTGACGTCTACGGGTACGTGAGGCAATTAGACAACTTCACCGAGGTCATGGTCCGGAACGGAGGACACATCCTTGCCTATGATCAACCAGCGGTGGCCTTTGACATGATAACAAAGTTTATAGACGACAAGCCTTTCGCTTGAATGATTATAATGTCAACTGGTTTATTGCCGATTCCTCTTCTGACCTCGCTGTTAGATATTGATCTGTTGACTTCCGACGCACTTTGAGAGACAACAGTTGTATTCCAATAAGGAATTCGGTTAACAAATAGAAGTGTGTTTATATTGTGTCTTCTTTTCCTCCTTGAATTACCTTATTATCTACAAAAATCCACCTTCTTCATTCCCTGTTGGGCCTGAGGCATTGCGAAGTAAACTAATGAATAAATAAAATGTAATAAATAAAACAAATTGTCATCAAAATCTTTTTGTCTTTATTTGATTTTTACCTCCGCTGGTCGATGAGGTTTGTGGGATTTCCCTTGCTGCTACCCGTCTCGGAGAATGACACAGCACACCGGTTCAACAACACGTAAACATTTAATGAGCGCTATCGCCTGCGCCGCGATCCCAACAGCCTCCGCGCATCCGCTGCGACGGCATTCTATCAGCGGCGGAGCGCCGCTCGCGTGGCCGGTTGCCCTTGGCCCCCTCGTGGTCAAGATGACCACTTATGATTGTCGGAGGGGCAGCCTGGGCCAACCACTTGGAATCGCCAGGTTGCCCACACATCTCCCCCCTTCCAAAAACGAAAACAGAGGACGTCTTAGATGGTCTTCGGGGGGGCCTTCCTTCTGGGTCAGCAAGGGTCTTCTCAGATGAGCGAGCACGAGTCCGACGTCAGTACTTCCGGACAGTTCCGATGCAGCTGTGGGGGGATGGTCCGATGATGGGAGCTGCGTCGCCGCTGTCTGGCACGAGGAACTAGAAATTAAAAACAACATGAGGCCATGGCGCGGTAAGAATAAGTAGCCGGGCACACGAAAGATGCCTGCCCCACTGTGCATGCGGGAGCGCGGACCCTTTCTCTTCTCCCCTCCCAAAACACCGAAGAGGGCATGAACATAATGCACTTAGAGCTCGTGCTACTCCCGGTCGTCTTCACCGCCGTCTCAAGTTGTACCGCGGTAGAGACGGTGTGGAATCTTCCGAGAGGTGGTCCGGATAGTCGTCACCTGGAACCTGCGACACATCTACCTCCTCGGGTACATAGAAAGCTTTTAGGTCGGCGACATGAATAGACCCGCACACTTCACCAGATTCACAATGCACCAGCTCATAAGACAGGTTGGTGAGCTTGCTACTAACACGGTTGGGGCCATCCCACCTCTTTGCTAAAGAGGCCGTAAAGCCTCTAGCAGCATCACTCAGCGGATGAGTTCGCCTCAGTACCAGATCTCCCACCTTGAAACGCAGATTTCGCCTCTTGTTATACAGGTTTGCCTGCTGCAGTCTCGAGACGTCGAGGCTCTCTCGAGCTTCACGCAGGTTCTCCGTGAAACGTTTCCGGAGATCTTCTGCGAACTGCGTGGTTGTGCGCTGCATGCTTGCAGGATCTGTGCAAAGGAGGCCGTTTCCCAGGCGAAACACAAGCTCTTCCCCAAAGTTAAGGACCGGTTGATTGTTGTGCGGGTAGCGAATGCCGTTTCTGCTAATTTCGCGTTCCAGTCTTTGTGTCGCCCTGTATGCGATACAAGCATCTGCTTCAGGTTACGGTTCACTCTTTCCGTGATATTCGCCTGTGGATGGTATGGCGAAGTCCGTTTGTGCCGTATGCCTAGCGTCTTACACGCATCCACGAATACCTTGCTAAGAAAATAAGAAGCGTTGTCTGTAATAAGCGTTGCGGCAAAGCCAAAGCGCGCGAACGCCTCGAGAAGACAGTCCCAGATTTTCCTAGAGTCTAGTTTGCGCAAAGGAAACATTTCGACCCATTTTGTGAAATGGTCGGTCACTGCTAGCAAATACTGATTGCCGCGTGGACTACGGGAAAGGGACCGACAACGTCGCAGGCAACACACTCCCAGGGGTACTTGCTTTCGACCGACTGCATTAAACCTGGTGGTTCGCCACCTCTGGGTTTTGCCTTCTGACAAACCGGGCAGCTACGTCCGTACCTCATCACATCCTGCCTCATACCTGGCCACGTTGCAATTTGGGACAACTTTTCGTAAGTTTTGGTCCCACTGCTGTGGCCTGCCAAGGCGGGATCATGCATATATCTTATAAATGACTTACGCAGTTTACGTGGTATTACAGACCGGAATGGCGGGCCGCTGGACCCATCGTCCGCCTGGGGGAGGTATCGCAGCAGGATGCCGTCGCTGCTGAGCAGGTATGAGTCCAAGTCTCTGGGATTCCCAGCGTCAGCTGAGTTTTCTTCTGCCAGCTGGTGCATCACCTTCTGACAAAGTCCATCGGACAGGTGGGCCGCTCGGAGCTCCTCTCTGCTCACCAGGGTTCCCCACCGCGACTCTGGTGTGATGGGCGCCGCATTGGCCAGTGCCACCAAGTCGGGATCCACCTGCATTTCCTGCCCGAGAAGTGGAGCACGGGACGACGCATCTGCAACGTGGTTAGCCGCCCCACGCTTGTACTAGATTGTGTATTTGTAGCGCTGGAGCGAAAGGGCCCATCGAGCGAGTCGTCCTGCAGGGTTTTGAAGCCCTTTGAGCCACGAGAGAGCCATGTGGTCAGTTTGAATGCTAAACGAAGCGCCGTCAAGGTACATGTCAAACTTCTTAAGCGCAAAAATAATTGCCAGGCACTCTTTTTCGGTTGTTGAGTAGTTTCGCTCCGCTCCGGTTAACGTATGACTGGCGAAAGCTACGGTACGAAGAACGCTGTCATGTTCCTGCAGAAGGACTGCCCCTAATCCGTAATCGCTTGCGTCGGTCTGCAAGACGAACGGACGATTCAAGTCGGGCAGGTTTAAACACGCGTTTTCAGTCACAACCCTTGAAAGACACGCGAATGCGGTTTGCTGCTCTTGCCCCCAGCACCATTTCGTTTTTTTGCGGAGCAATCGGTTCAGAGGTTCAGTTATCTCAGCGCATTGCGGAATAAAATCTCTATAAAACGCAATCATCCCGAGATATCTCTGTAGGCTTTTGACGTCATAAGGGGGTGGGTACTCCGTTATGTCGCGCAGCTTATCTTCATTTGGCCGCAGCGTTCTGTTATCCGCAACAAATCCGAGAAGGTTGATTACACGCGATGCCAACTGGACTTTATCTGGATGAATCGTAAGGCCGGCTCGACGGATTCGTTCGAGTATGATCTGAAGGTGCATGAGATGCTCCTCGAATGTTCGTGAAAAGACCACTACGTCATCCATGTACGCCATCGCAAACTCGTACTTCGCGTCACCGAGGACAACGTCCATTAGACGTTGAAAGCTGGCGGGAGAGTTGGACAAACCAAAGGGAAGCCGAGTGAATTCGAACAACCCCCTATGGCAAATGAATGCGGTCTTCTTTACATCAGCCGGATGAACTTCGATTTGAAGAAATCCGCGGCTGCAATCGAGGGTAGTGAAAACAGTCGCGTTTCCAAGGGCATACATTACTGAGGAAATACTAGGAAACGGGTAACTGTCTCTGACTGACACTTCATTTAGGCGCCTGTAATCAACACAAAGCCTTGCTGTGCCGTCCATCTTTGGAGCAAGGACCACCGGGGAAGCCCACGGGCTTCTTGACTGACGTACTGCGCCTGTGGCGATCATTTCCAATAGCGCCGCATCAAGAAGTTCGCGCTTGTGAGCACTTATGGGTCTCGGATTGCGCCTCCGCGGAGGTGCATCCTTGGTTTCGATGCGGTGCTGTAGGAGATCGGTTTTCCCAGGTCTTTCCGTGAACATCGGCAAGAAGGGTTCCAGCAGTTGCTGGAGCTGCTTCTCTTTGTCTTCACCGGAACACTTTTGCACGGCTTTGAGCACGCTGTCTGGAAGTAAAGGCATCTGCCCGGCAAAGTTTAACGGGAACGCTTGGCCGCGAATACAATCCTGCCGTCTGGTAAACGGCGTTGATTTCGTTTCGCCACCCAACCAATATCCAGCTTGGGCGAAGTCGAGCAAAACCCGCTCCGCTGCAATAAAATCTCTACCCAGGATCATGGGCACCGGCAGTTCCGGGAGGTACACGAACCGTTGTCTTCGTTTTCTACCATGAAAGGAAATTCGTAACCTGACTGCGCCGGCAGCAGGCAGTACGGACCCCGATGCTACTTGCAATTTCACGTTTGCTGACCAAAGATGTATCTTTCTCTTGTTACATTCCGCAAATACAGCATCCCCAATAAGCGATATGTTTGTCCCAGTATCTAAAAGAGCGGCTACTGGTATACCTAGTACATTCACAGTCATACGAGGTTCAAGAGACTTGGGTGTAGATTCGATTCTATGACAGCTGTAATGAGCGCTGTCGGTTCCTCGTTTAGTGAGGTTGTTCCTACCCCCGTCGGCTGGTGCGAGTCCATTAGCGGCCGGCCATCCAGAGCGACCATCCATGGTGTTGAGAACTTCAGAGCGGCTCTGACGCTGGGGATCGGCCCGGCCTTTGGCTGAAAGGGACTCGCATTAGGGTCCAACTCAAATGCAGTTGCTTCGGGTAGCGTAGGACCGGGAACAGTGGAAGCTGTTCGCCCGGGGATCAGTGCAAAGGCAGGCACGCCGGGAGTCTCAAGACCGCGAACGGTGTGAGCTGGGCGCCCGGGTGTCGGTGTGAAAGCCGACACGCCGGGAGTCTCATGACGGGGAGTGTTGTGAGCTGGCCGCCCGGGTGTCACTGCAACAGCAGGCACGCCGGGAGTCTCAAGTCCGCGAACGGTGTGAGCTGGGCGCCCGGGTGTCGGTGTGAAAGCCGACACGCCGGGAGTCTCATGACGGATAGTGTTGTGAGCAGGCCGCCCGGGTGTCACTGCAACAGCAGGCACGCCGGGAGTCTCAAGACAGCGAACGGTGTGAGCTGGGCGCCCGGGTGTCGGTGTGAAAGCCGACACGCCGGGAGTCTCACGAGGATGAGTGAAAGTGTTATGAGCTGGCCGCCCGGTTGTCAATGCGAGAGCAGACACGCCGGGAGTCTCAAGACTGCGAACGGTGTGAGCTGGGCGCCCGGGTGTCGACGCGGGAGCCGACACGC